AGCAGTGAAATAAAGCTGAGTCACTATTTGTCCGACTGTACAGGTAATTTGTATTTTTTTCATAATCATTTTTAATTTTCTCCCGTTCACGGTGGGCGGTGCTAATCTCCGCAATTTGAAGCCTTCTGTTCACGTTGATGATTAAAATTATTATTTGACAGTACATTACAGAAGTTATTTGTTGAAACGTTTCTAAAGTACTTTTATTTTACTTTATTTGTGAAACAAATGGTTGAGACTGTAAAATGGTTTGTTCGTTCTTTCTCTTCTTTTTCTGAGTATTTAATTGTAAAAAAAATAAAGATTTCTACTTCACGGATTTTGCCTATCACGGGTTCTTTTTGGAACGTAACCCCCGCGAAAAACAAGGGTTTACTGTATATATTTCTTTGTATGTTCTATTTCTAGAAGGATATATGTACATATATTTATATTTATAGTCATATACATGTGTTCATATATTTTTGCAATCGAATATATAAACTGAAATATATATATACATATATATTTACATATATATTTTCGTGTTTGTTTTTATGGTCTGCTTTATGATTTTTTTTTTCTTCTCAGATCATGTTCAAAATGAAGAAAACTACGCTCAAGCTCTGGACAAATTTGGCAGCAACTTCATCAGCAGGGACAACCCTGACCTGGGGACGGCCTTCGTGAAGTTCTCGTCCCTCACCAAGGAGCTGTCAGCGCTGCTGAAGAACCTGGTGAGCGGTGGTGAAGTGTACTTTGGTCTGGTTCCACATGGATGAGATGAGAACGGTTGTTTCTCCTCCTTTTTCTCAGAGATAAGTGGTTTAGGATTTGTGTTTTAGGATTAGGAGAAAAGTCAGGGGCTGGACATGTGAGGTCCGTGATGAAAGTCCAGGTCCAGTTGGACGCTGTCATCGGCGTCTCCACATGTAGACAGTCAGCGCTGTCATCACCAAATCAACCTCCGAGCCTGGTGTTTGTTTTTTTTTCCACTCCAGACTCAAACATCCGCCCGATGTGGATCAAATTTCCTCTGACGTTTCTGTTGAATATTGTTCACGTCCTCCGTGTGAGCGATGATGCCTGTGTCCTCTGTCCTTCGTCTCTTCCTGTGTGGTTGACAGTGAGATTACAGGCCATAAATACTCATCGGCAGCGGCAGCATCAACTGTGTTTCACAAACACTCACTCACTCACACGTGTTACGTGGACGTCTCCTCTACTGTCAAAAAGAAAGTTGTTTTTTTTTTTAAGAATTCCAACATGGTGTTGAAGCGGAATAGATGGGGAGCAGCGTCCGGGACGTGCTGTTAGAGAGCTGCGGCGTTCCGTCCAATGAAAGATTGATTCCTCCGTTGGCCATATGCATAGACAGGCACTTGAGGAACCCATTAGTGGCCATTAAGTGTTGTTTACTTCCTGGACTGGCCCTGGGCTGCATGTGTCTCTGCGTGGACTTGGCTAAGACGGGACGAGCAGGACTTAAATGCTGAGCTGCGTTGTAAATGATCTCGCTGATCCTCTTTGCTGAGCCAGAGCTGCTGGCAACGTCAACTTTTTGGGACGACCATTTTGTGTTAGAGTTGGACCAGTCCATGATTTTAATGTAGTGGTTTATTTAACAACAATAAAAATAATTATTCTGTGGCTCTCTGCCCTCACACCTACTGGTCGTGAATAAGAAATCTAAATTTTTCAGGCTTCGTGATGACAAGTAATTAGCACAAACAAGTAGAAACGTTCGTTTAATAATTTTTCCAATCTGTTTATTTACCAGTGTGCACCATAACAGATTTACTCTGTGGTCGACTCGCCAATCAACACACCAGAATTACCAGATACTGTGTCATTCAAGAGATTGATTCTGATTGGTTGCCTTTTATGAAGCACCAGGAATGATCCGTGGTACCAGGATTACCATGTGTTTCCACAACAGGAACCAGGAAATACCAGGATTGTTTTTAAGCCCCAGAATGCCAGAGACATGTTGTAGGTGGAGCCAACAGTTCATGCTCGCACCTGATTGGTTGGAGAGCTGGTCACATGTATTGTTCAAAAATCTAACTCTTTGTTTACATCTGTAAGAAACCGACGCAGCTTAGAAACCTGTGATAACAACGATAACCGTCGTGGATCGTTTCATGTTGGTGAAAGACGCCGACAGAGAGACTCCTGGTGACAGGGAGTGGAAATGCGGTTGCAGCCACTCAGGTTTATTACTCACCCTGTAATTGTTCTCAACTGTATTCTCCACCACAGAGTCTTGTAATTTAGTCAGGACTTCAGTAAAGGAAGTTCATGTTAGTGCCGACAGTAAAAACACACACGAGTCGATCCATAAACAGACGACACAGCAGGAGAATTCTGGTGTCATCACATATTATTATTATTATTATTATTATTATTATTATTATTATTATTATTATATATTTTATCATCAAAATTCTGGATCATTTTAAATATGACTTTTTAATGTGTACATGATCAAAATCCCAAAAAAATTAAATCTCACTTCCTGTGTTCCTCCTCCTCCTCTTCTGTCTGTCCTCTTTCAGCTCCAGAGCCTGAGCCACAATGTCATCTTCACCTTGGACTCGCTGCTGAAGGGCGACTTGAAGGGCGTGAAGGGGGTAAGACTTACTGTCGTCACCGACAAGATTTGATACTTTATATTTCAACTGTAACAAATGTCCACGTCGACGCTCTCTGATCATCACAAACTATAGGACTGACACAGAAAAATGTTCCGGTGCATTTTTTCGAAAGAGTCGTCAATAAATAAATATTTGGTCCTGTCTGTTAAACACTTGGTCCAATCATCATACAGAAGTCCAGCTTCCACAGATCCATTGAAGCTTAGCATCAACAGGGTTTAATACAGAAAAACTAAGATTCTAGAATGAACTCGTCATGTATCTGATCGTCTAATAGCTCACTAAAAAAAACCATGATATTTGATAGTGTTATGAGCTGTTAGAGTATGTGTAGCCTCTTTTATCACTGGTGTGAATGCAGCCCGTCCTCAGTCTCTGTCTCTGTGAGAGAGTTCACAACAAAAGTTGTCGCTGTTCAGCTCGTTGCTTTGAAACTGCAGAAATAAACATCCCCTCTGTGCTCCCCCGGAGGTGGGTGGCAAGCAGCTGGGTCATGAACCCTTAATGTTCTGGTACGAGGAGGGAGGCAGTTACTCACTCACCGTGCGTCCGGGGCATAAATCCCGAGCGTAGTAGTGAAGGCATGTGCTGTGCCTCTGGTCCAGATCCAGATCCTGCAAATACCTCAGTCCCCGTGGTGACCTCATTAGTTTTGCTGATGCCTGTCCTCCTGTGTTTCTACAGGACATAAAGAAGCCCTTTGACAAAGCATGGAAAGACTACGAGGCCAAGTTGTAAGTGGATAATTAAAGACCGCTGTTGTCATGCTGCATGTTTGCATCACCGCTCTAATGGAAGTGAACAGGATAATGGAGCAAAAAAAAAAAAAAAAAACTGTGCATAAACTTTTGTCTGTCTCCCCCCGGAGGTTACTGCACTTGATCTGACACAAAGAGATAAATGAAAAGAGAATCTTATTTATGTAGTGTTTTTTTTTTTTTTTCCTCCTCTGTCTCGTGTGTCAGTACAAAGATAGAGAAGGAGAAGAGAGAACACGCCAAGCAGCACGGGATGATCCGCACTGAGATCACCGGCGCTGAAATCGCAGAGGAGATGGAGAAGGAGCGGCGGCTTTTTCAGCTTCAGATGTGTGAGGTAAGGTTTCTTTTTTTTTTTCTTGGTTTTTCCTCAGTGTTCCTCCTCAGCAGTTGGTGTAAGGTGTGGTGTGTATCTGGATAAGAACAAAGAGACCAAACCTCGTCCAGTGACGTCAGCACAGTTTTTTCACGTGAGCCACAGTGCGATCGTTTTTCACCGTGATCACGTTTCAGCTGCAAATTCAATCTGTATTGTGTGACCTCATTCTGGAGGGAGAGAGAAAAAAAAATCCACCTGGCAGAGACAGAGTATCTCACTCCACATTGTCCTGCCGTCAACACCAGCAGATCCACAAGTAGGAGTCGCTCCTGCGGAGTCTGTCCATGAACTGGGACGATGGTTGTAGTACCGACGTGGACCTGCAGGGGTTTGCATGTTTAGTGTGAACACCTCTGGTTCTCAACCAGCGGTGCCTGGACCCCTGAGGGGTGTTGGCAGCCTGTAGTCAGGGCTTTGCCAAATATTTTAGAACAACGATAAAATGACACTCTATAACAGTGGAGAGTAACAGAGTGGACTTTTTTTTTTGTACAAATTAATACAGCTATGTCCCTTGTGAGTCATACACATATATGAATACATAGACTTATATATGTATATATTTATATATACATGTACTGTATATGTACTGATATAAATCATGTATATACATATATGTGTATATGTACTGATATAAATGTATATGTAACTAAACTATTAGTAATGAGCATTCGATTAGGTTAGCATTGGATTAAAATAGCTAGCACTTGAACGTCCATAAGAAAAATACAACAAAAAAAATACTCATAAAACCGTATACTGTGAGTACATTTCTATATATTTCTACATCTAAAGTGCCAGACAAAAATGCAGAAATGTTTGTCTTTTATTTCAGGTGTTTTCATACGGTCCGTCGTTGCTGTACGACTCGTTTTGCCTTCGAGCGTTTTTTTTTTGCGACATTGTTTGTCGTCGATTCCCCAAAAGGTTGTTTTTAAAGAAAAGCGACAGCAAGATGTGAAACTAATGTGAGCTCTTCACTGTGCTCAGGAGATTTAGAACAAACTGCACGCTGCCAGAAAGCCTCTCTGGTTGTGGGTGGTGACGCCTACGCTCTTTTACAACACTTCTTTTTCTTTACTCAACTTGCATAACGGGGCTGTGTTTGTTGCGCTGTTGGGAATTATTCACTGAAAAGAAAAACCAAAAGAGTTTTAATCAGTGATCTGCTCAGCCATGCTAATCTTCCCTGAACTCACAGGTATTTACCGCCCTCGTGTTTGAACTCAGAGAAGGTGAACTCTACAGATGTTCAACCTATCATGCTAGCACGCTAGTTTAATAAGCAAGGTTTTATTAATTCTTCTTCTTACTTTTTTTATAAATATATATATAAAGGATTTTTATAAAGGATTACTGTTTTTATAAACCAGCAATAATGCAGGCAATAAAATTGCTGCTGCTGCTGTTACGGCCTCAGCAGTCAGTGGTCTCTTCATCTCACTTAACCTGGTTTTCTAATAAAATCGTGCCGCTCCTCTCTCTCCTGTCTCTCTCTCTCTCTCTCTCCATGTTAGTCAATCACCAGATTACAGGAAGCTCTCACTCTCCTCTTTTTTCATCCCACACTGTCAGCGGAGCCGTGTTGGAGTGGAGGATCAGGGAGATGATGCTGCGTTGTAATTGTGTTGAGACACGGCATTAGTTTGGGCGTCGCTTCCCATTCACACAGAATGAGTTCTGACACGCTAAAGCTAACGCTAAAGCTGCCGGGGTTTAGCCGAACTTCAAACGCACATCATATTTATCGATTTCATTTCTCCTGTAGTTTTCGTTTGTTTCTTCAATCTATCTTAACCTCTCTTGTGTCAAATATTGAAGTGCTTCAGTCTTATGACTTCTCCGAACATTCGATATTTTCTTTATCTTTCCTCTGATCGTGTTGGATCCAGGCAGAGAGACGGGGGGTTTTTTTTCTCCTCAAACTTGATTTCCTGTGTTTACCACCGTCCTCGCTCCCACTGAGTCACCGCAGCCTTGTGAAGGACATCAAAGGTTCCATCAGGCGTATGTTCACTCAGACCTGATTAGCATAATGCTAAGGGTTTACTTCACGTGGGGGTCGGACCTTCCCGGCTGTGTGAAAGCACTGCCCTGTTCATTAAAACAAGAAAACAGCTCGACTTTCTGCTGCTTTTGAACCCTGCACCTGTTTTTCCCCCTTCTCTGCAGTACCTGATCAAAGTAAATGAGATCAAGACCAAGAAAGGAGTGGACCTCCTGCAGAACCTGATTAAGTATTACCACGCACAGTGCAAGTAAGTGCCTCCTTAATCCCCTGCCATGGATTCATGACACTCCCGTGTGCAGTTCACCACCACCACACTCTGAAAAATAGATCCAGAGAAAAGAGGTTTTTCTCCGTTTTTGATTTTTACTTTTCCAACACGTTAGGACTCACAGATTGCAGATGTGTTTATAAATAGCTCTCATAAATATGCACAGGTCATCAGAGGGATCCGTGCTGACAGCCGGGGGGGTCTGGTTGGGTAAATAGGAGGCTGATCACTGTGGCAGAACCGCAACTCACTTCAGACTGTGACAGAATGACAAACATTCTGTCAGAAATACTGGGTCCTGTCAAAACCCCGGGACAGAACACGCTGGTTCTCCAGTTAATCTGTTCCACCTGAGTTCTGATGGATGGGCCACGGGTTCACTGCTGATGGTTCTGGAGCAAAGTGTCTCTAAAATTAGAGCCAACTCTGTCAAGGCAAATGATTCTACCTTGGAAGTTTTCTCCAAAGTTTGTCAGTTTTTTCATGATAAAAAAAAAAAGATTGATGTCAGCGCTGACTTTTTATCCACTATTTTTTCCTTACTATAAGTGAACTTTTCTTGATAGTTGGCTGGTCCTGCAACTTAAATACCAAAGCGACTTATATATCAAAAATACACACCATATCATCCACGGCCACCAGAGGGCACCTTCTATACCTGTGACAACTGAACGCTTGTAGAGCACCTCAGGAATATGCCAGTAATGAATAATAAAATATAAAGAGTTCCTTTAAGAACAAAAACAAAGTGCAGATTATACAGTATCATCTGCATACATGATGATAAAGTAGCCAATAATGGTCATCCTAACTAAACAGCAGCAGAGGAGATGGAGCGTCCTTTGGACTTGGCAGAACTGTGGAAGACAAACTCTCAGTCTGCTTCACTGACCTCAGTCCAACTCTTTGTCTTCCTGGGTCTAATTATTTGGCAGACTAAGTCTGGTGTTTGTCACTGTCGTGGAGTTACACTCTGCCCACAGTGATCCTACACACACTCACCACAGTTACACACACACACATGTCCACGTCCACAAGTCACTGATGCTCAGGTACTGAAATGAGCTGGAAAATATATATTCTAAAAAACAGGTACTGAAATGAGCTGGAAAATATATTTTTTAGATTAAAAAAGAAAACAACAAATGGTTGAATAAGTGCTAGCGTTGCGCTAACACACCAGATCGTTGCCAGCACTTGACGTTGATGACTGGACAGAACAGCTGGCTGGTGGGTTGAAATAAGAAGGTAATTAGAGGTGAGCTGTGGCTGCAGGGGTGTCCAGCTCTGATGGATCTCAGGATGTGTCCAGAACCTCGGCCAACTTCCCACTTCCTGCTCCAGCAGTGGTTTCTGAGCCAAGTGGCAGCGGCACCGGAGTGAGGCGCCGGACGGACATTAAACATATACTCTACGCTCGTTTCTTTCCGTCCAAACTTTGTCATTGGTCATTGTATTTAATAAAAGTGGACGCTGATGCTTACTGAATGACTAAAGTTGTTTTGTTTATTTTAATTCTTTGCAGTTTCTTCCAAGATGGCTTGAAGACTGCGGATAAACTGAAGCAGTACATCGAGAAGCTGGCAGCTGATCTCTACAACGTAAATATATTTTAAATCCTGCTTCACAGCTTTGGAAAATGCTGTTAAAAAGCAGTTATGATGTGATAGAGTGTTGTTATTCTGTGTGAGGTCAGTTCTCTGGTTGTGGCTAAGTCTGGGGGAAAAGCAGAAGTGTTCAGAAGTATTTGTGATCAGACGTCCCTGTGGAGGAGACGTGGGCTCTAACGTGGTCTGACTGAAGTGTTCACTTCCCCACGAGTATTTTAACATATTCATTGGAGCGGTGACGCCGTGAAAACACAGCTCCGACCGTGTCTTCTGGTCATGATGGCGTCTTTATGCCCCGCGCAGATTAAACAAACTCAGGACGAGGAGAAGAAGCAGCTGACGGCCCTGCGAGATCTGATCAAGTCCTCTCTCCAGCTGGACCAGAAAGAGGTAGGCCGGTCTCAGACTGGAACTGGAGAGGATCAGTTTAACTTGCAGCACCTTTTTTTTTTTTAACCACACACACACACACACACTCTCTCACTCTGGCCACTCCCAGGTTTGGAGCGAGCGCCCAGTGCTGTACCATGCTGGTAGCCAGTGTGTGGTTGGCTTTTGCTGGTGACTAGTGTTG